TGTCCAGTCTATCATCAATGGGCATTTGGGTTGGTTCCAGGTCTTTGCTATTGTAAACAGTGCTGCAATGAACATTCGTGTGCACATGTCCTTATAGTAGAATGATTTATAATCCTTTGGATATATACCCAGTAATGGGATTGCTGGGTCAAATGGAATTTCTATTTCTAGGTCCTTGAGGAATTGCTACATTGTCTTCCACAATGGTTGAACTAATTTACACTCCCACCAACAGTGTAAAACTGTTCCTATTTCTCCACATCCTCTCCAGCATCTGTTGTTTCCAGATTTTTTAATGATCGCCATTCTAACTGGTGTGAGATGGTATCTCAATGTTGTTTTGATTTGCATTTCTCTGATGACCAGTGATGATGAGCATTTTTTCATATGTTTGTTGGCCTCATGTATGTCTTCGTTTGTAAAGTATCTCTTCTTATCCTTTGCCCACTTTTGAATGGGCTTGTTAGTTTTTTTCTTGTAAATCTGTTTTAATTCTTTGTAAATTCTGGATATCAGCCATTTGTCAGATGGGTAAACTGCAAAAATTTTTTCCCATTCTGTTGGTTGCCGATTCACTCTAACGACTGTTTCTTTTGCCGTGCAGAAGCTGTGGAGTTTGTCTATTTGTCTAATGTGGAGTTAGGTCCCATTTGTCTATTTTGGCTTTTGTTGCCAATGCTTTTGGTGTTTTGGTCATGAAGTCCTTGCGTACACCTATGTCCTGAATGGTTTTGCCTAGATTTTCTTCTAGGGTTTTTATGGTGTTAGGTCTTATGTTTAAGTCTTTAATCCATCTGGAGTTAATTTTAGTGTAAGGTGTCAGGAAGGGGTCCAGTTTCTGCTTTCTGCACATGGCTAGCCAGTTTTCCCAACATCATTTATTAAACAGGGAATCCTTTCCCCATTGATTGTTTTTGTCAGGTTTGTCAAAGATCAGATGGTTGTAGATATGATACGTTGCCTCCGAGACCTCTGTTCTGTTCCATTGGTCTATAGCTCTGTTTTGGTACCAGTACCATGCTGTTTTGATTACTGTAGCCTTGTTATAAACTATTGTAGTATAGTTTGAAGTCCAGTAGTGTGATGCCTCCCGCTTTGTTCTTTTTGCTTAGAATTGACTTGGCTATGCGGGCTCTCTTTTGGTTCCATATGAAGTTTAAGGCGGTTTTTTCCAGTTCTGTGAAGAACGTCATTGGTAGCTTGATGGGGATAGCGTTGAATCTGTAAATTACTTTGGGCATTATGGCCATTTTCACGATATTGATTCTTCCTAACCATGAACATGGAATGTTTCTCCATCTGTTTGTGTCCTCTCTTATTTCATTGAGCAGTGGCTTGTAGTTCTCCTTGAAGAGGTCCTTTACGTTCCTTGTTAGTTGTATTCCTAGGTATTTTATTCTCTTTGTGGCAATTGTGACTGGAAGTTTGTTCTTGATTTGGCTCTCTTTAAGTCTGTTATTGGTGTATAGGAATGCATGTGATTTTTACACATTGATTTTGTATCCTGAGACTTTGCTGAACTTGCTTATCAGTTTCAGGAGGTTTGGGGCTGAGACGATGGGGTCTTCTAGATATACAATCATGTCGTCTGCAAATAGAGACAATTTGACTTCCTCCTTTCCTATTTGAATACCCTGGCCAGAACTCTTCAAAACTCTCAAGGACACTTAAAAAAAAAAAAGATAAACTAAAACAAGGAAAACCTGAGAAACTGTCACAGACAAAAGGAGACTAAAAAGACATATTAGTTTCCAATGCAATGTGGTATCCTGGACTGGATTTGATACAGAAAGAAGACATTAGCAAAACAAACTAATGAAATTTGAATAATGTCCAGAGTTTAGTTCATAGAAACATACCAACACTAATCCCCTAGTTTTGACTAATGTAACTTGATTATGTAAGATGTTAACACTAGGCCAAAGTATGTGAACAGTACACAGGAACTCTGTAGTAATTTGCTGTGATTCTAAAATTATTCCAAAATTAAAAGTTTATTTTTAAAAAGGTAGGATACATAAAAGGAATCAGAATAAGCTTATTCAGCTTTCAGACCAAGAAGATACTTTGCAACATTAAAAAGAATGTAATATGCATATTTTCTGTGGAAAGTTTTCCAATGTATAGCATAATGCTTGCCTTACAAATCAAAAGAAGTGGCAAGCTCAGTTTCACTATAGCCTGGGAGAAGAGGATGAATAGTGTAATCAAGGATCATGTTCCACAGTTTGAAAGACCCATTTTTTAAATTTGTATAAATTTAAGGGGTATAAGTGAAATTTTGTTACATGGATATATTGCATAGTGGTGAAGTCTGGGGTTTCAATATAATTATCATTCAAATAGTGTACATTACACTTATTAAGTAATTTCTCATCCCTCACCCCTCTCCCACCCTTCTGAGTCTCCAATATCTATTATTCCATACTCTATGTCCATGTGCACATATTATTTAGCTCCCACTTATAAGTAAGAACATGCAGTGTTTGACTTTCTGTTTCTGAGTTGTTTCAATTAAGATAATGGCTTCCAGTTCCATCTATGTTGCTGCAGGGACATGATTTTTTTTTTTTTTTTTTGGCTGAATAGTATCGTTTTTATGGCTGAATAGTATTTTACTGTGTATATTTATTACATTTTCTTTATCCAGTCATCTGTTTATGGATACTTAGTTTGATATCACATCTTTGCTCTTGTGAATATTACTGTGATAAACTTAGACATGCATTTTTTTTGATATAATGATTTCTTTTCTCTTGGGTGGATACCAAGTTTTTGGATTGCTAGATCAAATGGTAGTTCTATTTTTAGTTCTTTGAGAAATTTCCGTGCAGTTTTCCATAGAGGTTGTACTAATTTACATTCTCACCAATAGTGTATAAGTATTTCATTTTTTACACATCGTTGCTAACATCTGTTATTTTTTTTCATTTTTAATAATAGTCATTATGACTGGTATGATGTCTCATTGTAATCTTAATTTGCATTTCTCTGATGATTAATGATGTTTGGCATTTTTTCATATGCTTTTGGCCATTTGCATGTCTTCTTTTTAAATTTTTGTATTTTTTATATTTTAATTTTTATGTGTACATAGAATATGTTCTTTTGAAAAATGTCCATTCCTGGTACTCTGCTCGCTAATTAATGAGTTGTAGTTGTTATTGAGTTGTTTCAAGTTCCTCATACATTCTATTTTTCCCATCAGATGAGTTTAAAAATATTTTTTCTCATTTTTACAGATTGTCCATTTACTCTGCTGATTATTTCTTTTGCTGTACAGAAGCTTTTTGGTTTACTTAAGTTCCATTTGTCTTTTTTTCTTTTGTTGCTTGTGCTTTTAGGGCTTAGTCTTGAATTATTTGCCTAGACCAATGTCCAGAAGAGTTTTCTCTAGGTTTTCTTCTGGCATTTTTATAGCTTCAGGTCTAATCTTTAACACATCTTGAATTTCAGTTTTTAATATCTGTGTTTTAAATTTAGATGGATGAACTCAGCACCACAGAGAAAAGTTAGCCTTGCCCACTCCTTTCCCATCAACTAACACACAGCATGACTTACATCCAGGGGGACTCAGCATATAGGCCCCTGCCCTGTTTCACTCATGCCAGTCACTTTCTTCCTAGAGTGTCCAACTGCTTAGGTCTGAAGGTCCCTGTACTGTCAACCAACGGCCTGCCAATTGATGAGATACACAGATGACAACATTGCAGGCTGTCTTCTGGGCAGTGATGCTGACACAAGGTGGAGAAACACGAGAAGACCTGTCAGAGAGACTGGTTGTAGGAGCCTGCCCCATAGGACCATGATAGTAATGTAAAAGAAAGGATGATGAGTCTCTAAGGTTAGGGGAGGCCAAAGAAGAGGAGCCTAACCCCTGGGACCTTCATAAAAAGAACTAATGTCTGAGTTGCATTGCTTAACCAATTAAGTGTTTCTCCTAAAAAAAAAAAAAAAAAAAAAAAAAAAAAAAAAAAAAAAAAAAAAAAAAAAAAAAAAAAAAAAAAAAAAAAAAAAAAAAAAAAAAAAAAAAAAAAAAAAAAAAAGAGGATCACAAGGGTCACTGGAGAAAATTATCATGCCAAACTTTGCTAGGAGTCTTCCAAAGAATGTTACAGAAAACCCAGAACCGAGTGAGATTCCTGGTTCCTGCCTATCGGGCATATGCTGAAATCCTGCTATTCCCATCCAAAAATTACAGTTTCTTCAATGCCTGCAAAGGATTAATGACAAAGGCTGGAAGAATTACAGTGAAAGTGAGAATTACTCCCAGGCCCACTGTGTGGCATGTAGGGAGTCTCTAGAAGCTATACCCCAAAGACAGGCATCAAACACACTTCCATGAGAAAATTAAAAGTCCCCAAAGTGTTAGTTACATGATGAAGCACAGAAAAAAAGGTTGTGGCATCCTCTTTCAGAAATGCTTACCTGCTCCTCAGCACACCAGTTGTTACTACTTGAGCTGGTTCATAGGAATCATCTGCCAAGTTTGGGATTCAGTCACCCTGGGCTAACTTTACTTCTAAGTCTAAGCATAGCCTCAAGGCTGGGATGTGGGCCAGAGCAGTGACCACCATGGCTCAGGGCCTTTTAGATATAGTTACATTAGACAGATGACCAGAAATGAGGGATGTGCCTACCAGTATTCAGGAGCTGCCCTCACACTCTCGAATACCTATCCTTACTGTGACTGCCACTCTCTCTTATCCCACCTTGAAGTCCCTAATATTCTATAACACAAGCAAAGTCTCCAATACCAGCCTAAAGAGCAATCAGAGAGGAACCATATAGTGGGGAGGCTAAAGTGGAGAATCAAGCCCAGCCTAGGCAACATAGCAAGACCCCAAGAATCAAGAAAGAAAATCAGAAGAACTGAATGGGGTTCAGATGTTATCCTGGTACACCACATTGGGGGTGGCCCCTCTGCAAGCCACTGGCTATGTCTCTTTTCTTGCCAGGCATTTCAGCTGTGAAGTCAATGCCAGAGAACATGTGAGTTGTTCTTCAAGTGCTGAGATGACCACACTCCTTAGATCTGGGGCTGTCAGGCTACAGGGAAAGAACATGCTAGACAGTACCATATATCAGGGGTTGTCCCTGTGAGCAGTCACTCAGAAGGCTGAATTAGGCAGTGGGCATGTCAAGTGGGAGCAGGAGGGGCAGGCAGGAGAGGAGCTCACACATCCTCCATTAGGAGAGCTGAGAAGTGCAGTGGGCCAGAGCAACATGGAAAGGGCTAGGTGGGGAGGGGTGACTTTTTCTGGCATTCCACATGCTGTTCAGTCCTTCATGCTTTACAGAGGGGCTCTCAAAGCAAATGCAGGTGCAACACATGCCTCTGCCCAGGTAGTGCTGGGCCAGGCCAGAGGCTGGTCTCTGCTCAGGCTCAAGGTGCACAGGGATGTGGATCTGGGGAAGGGTTCTCTCCCTGGCTTCCTGACAACATGCACATCTCGGCAGATGCCACACATCTAAAGGTTCAAACCTACCTCAGACACTGCTCTACCTGTCCCCATCCCCTGCAAGGGCCTCACCTTTACCTTGCAAATGTGAAATGAAGGCTCCTTGCAGGTGTGAAAGAATGTCATATGCAGATTAATGAGGTGGAGCCAAATTTCTAAAATCTCCTGATACATACCAGGTCTATCTCTGGCCTCGCCCTTACCAGTCTTAACCCATCCAATGCTGGGGGGTCTCCCAGTACTGCAAGAGCAATTCCCATAGTGAGCAATTCCATACCTCCTATTTCACTTTCTAACAGCTTTCAGAAATGGAGGTTTTTATTGTATCTAACCATAGTCCTCCCAGCTGCACTGGGACCTCTGTCTCCCCTGAAGTCTGAGAAAGGCTGGTCCCCAAGTCCTCCTGAAAAAATCAGCTTGCTGGACCCCTTGCCAGTGTGTTCTCTCCTACCTCTTGGGATCTTCCTTCTTGGTATGCTACAGGAGAGGAGGCCTTGTGCTGGGTGCTTGGGGAGCCCCACCTGGAGTCCTCTATCTCCTGCTCCTGCTCTAGCTCACTGGTCTTCATCTGCACATAGTCCTGCACCAATGCAGCCAGTGGGAGGCACGCTTCCTCCTCACTGAGTGTGGCCAGTCTGAACTGCTAGCTCCAGGGCTGACCTGTGGAGGAGAAGCAAACTCAACAGGCTGTGAGTCCCTGTCTGCCCCTCCCCAGGATAAGCAACCAGGCTTCCTGGTCTCTGTTTCTTCCCCTGAGGATGTGGCCACTGTGACTCTCAGGGGATAGGGCATGAGGTCCGGGTCCACCTGTGGGCACTGATTAACCAGGAGCCACGCATGACTTCAGAGCCACAGAGCTGTCTGGTCCCAGGGGCAGTGGGAGCAGAGGGGCCCCTGGCTCCAAGCTGTCTCACCTGAATGGTGCTGCCTGGAGGCTGCCCACCTGGCATAGGACCAAGACTGAGAGCCAGGAAGCGAGAGAACTTCTGGGAGCCTCTGACAGCTCTCTGTAACAAGAAAAATGATCCCGCCATTAGGTACAACCAGTCAATACCCAGCTGAGGTCACTGTCACATCCTTTTTCAGTCATTTGAGATACCTGGTATATTAGGGTCTTTCCTCACCTTCTAGTGAGGGGGACCAAGCCAGCTTCAGCTAAGTTTTTGGCATGTTCACACCTGGAGCTAAAGGCAAAAAGCATGGTACCTATTCCTGCACAGAGCTTCTGCTCTGAATACCTGCTTTCTTCCCTACCATGCCCACCAGGCTAGATCCTTCTTCCCATCTATCCTGGACTGTTTAGATGATGTCTTGGGCTCCCCCTGGCATTTTCCACAACTTTTCCAAAGGCACTTCCTAACTAGGAGTCCCCAAGCCTCCTCCGGTTTCAGGCCCCATTTTCCAGTCTTTCCATTTCTTCACACCTCCCCATGAAATATCTTTCCATGCACTCTGTACCCTTCCCCAGGGCCTAGAACAACATGTACAGCTGGGGGTGGGGGATTCAGTTGCCCCTCCTGTAGTCCGCCTTGCCTTTGTTCTTCACAGGAATTTAAATCTCTGGGATCCACACAGCTCTGTTTGTTCAGGGGGCTCTCTAGAGTGTCTCCTAGAGTTCCTCATGTCTTTTGGGGCCCTTCTCAAGAAGTTAGTGTGGCAGAAAGGCTATAGGCCAGGCTTCCTGTACTCCTTGTTTCTGTGTAACCTCAAGCAAGTAACTGGACACTCTCTAGACCTCATCGCCCCAGTGGGGTGTCTTCAAGTTTGAAGGCATTGATGAATGTAAATGGTTTGGAAGCTTGACAGCACAGGGAGAGATGTCCAGGCCTGAGTGTGTTGAGGTTTCGCTTGGGGTTGAAGGGCCTTAGCCCCATCCTATGGGTCTAGTCTACCAGGAAGGCTTTCTGCCCAATATGGCTGAAGACGGAGGACTCACTGCCCCTTTAGGTACTGAGAGAGCTGGGGTTTTCTTTCCCAGGGCAAGGTTGTTATTGCTATAGCCCAGAGAAACACACACACACACAAACACTTCCTCTGCACGTTCCTAGTCCCAAGGACATTTAATGACAGGTACAGAGCCCAAGGCTCTTGCTCGCAGTCAGCTCCTGCCATCCGTAGGGACTGAGTTCTGCAGCTTCACCTAAACGTAGATGGGGGTACTTCATCCATTCCTCGAAGGCCAGACCCCTGGACAAACCCATCTCCTTGTGATCACCTGCTGCCCTACCCTGATTTAGGGACTGTTCCCCAAGGGGCACACACGCCACCGCAGTGTTGGACTCAGCTCAGGTTGCCACCGAAGTAGGCCTCTCCACGCAAGGTATGCCATGGCACCGTGACCGCCCCAAGCAGGGAGCTCGCCTCCGAGAGAGGTGCCCAGCAGCTGAAAGGAGAGGGAGGATTAGGAATAAGGGCCCACTGAAAAAATGACTGGAACTGAATTTACCCTTTGAGAGACTGACAGCCGTTGAAACAGCGCCTCCAAACCAAAGGGGAGAGTCCAGGGGAGATGCAGACGACCGGCTGGGCTAACGGAAAGATCAGACAGACCCACAGTGGGCGGACCCGGACCCCAGCGGGCTCTCCAGCAGTGGTACCACTGAGACTGGCGATCTGAACAGGACAGCAACCTCCAGAAGGCTCACCCGGGGGGAGTGAAGCCCTTTGCGGTGCCCCCTCCCCGAATAACAAGCCACCTCTCATTGCAGCCTCCAACAAGCCCGCTCCACCCCAACGCGCACGCGGACACACACGCGCGCGCACGCACGCACGCACGCACACGCCTTCCTGCCCCTCCATCGGCGAGGGCAACCCCTCTGAAAACCGTTTGCACAGCGGCCTTGCGCCGAGGAGCTCTGTTTGTGGAGATGCCCTGTGCCTGCCGGTCCAGGACAGTTCACCTGCTGCCGACTGCCTGAGGCAAAAGCCCGGACGCACCACAGCCCGTCCTGCAGCGCCCTCCAACGGAACACAAGGGGCTCTGCAGGCCCGAAGGCTACCAGGTGTCTGTACTCAGCTAAGGATATGCACTCTCATCCGATGCTAACGAACTCACCCTACTTAAGGTGTTAGAAATGCGCGGCCCTCGGGTGAGCGGGGTCTCGCCGCCTCCCAGCCGTCTCCTCGCTAACTCGCGGACTGTGACTGCCAGAAGCACCCTCACGAAGGGCCCGCACACACGCCACCAACGGACGCAGTCTTGGTTGGCATTCACGTCTCGGACACACTGACCATCATTCTGTACACACTTGCCCTCCCTGCAAGTGAAACATCTTTCCAAAATGGACGCTTTGCAGGCATCGGGCCCCGGAGCCGAGCGTAGGTCCAGAGGCACAGCGAGTCCTGCCGCCTCCCGGACCTGGCTACCGCGATCTAGAAGACTCGCCACCTGGTCAGGCCGAAGGATTCGGCCTGGTATATTAGGTCCTGACACCCGCGGCCGTGGAGCCCCTGGACCCGTGCACCTGGGCGGCGGGTTTGCCCCGGGGTCCTCCGGTCCGCTGGCCGCCGCTCTTTCGCTGCCGGCAGGGGGCGCTTCTTAGACGCTTTGCTTGCTCCTTGTGCGATCTGGGCCCAGAAGGGCAAACTTTTCTAAGGCTGGCGCTCAGCAAATGCTCCCAGAAAAAGCGCATGGGAACTGATTTCATTCCCTGAAAACTGCTCAACCAGAAATCCCCATGTGCTGACCGTCCAGTGCGTCCTCAGACTTCCAAAATAAAAGCCACCCTGTCAGAAGCCAGTGGACCATGCCAGACCTAAGCATAGCGAGCAACAGGGAAACCTGCGGGGATCAATTAGGTTCGGACCCAGCAAATCAAAACCGTTTTTTGTTGCTGCTGCCTGGGTGCAATCCCCCAACCAGGAATAAATCCAGAACACATCTGCATTTTATATCTGATCTCTTCTTAGCTGGGAAAGCAAACTGCTGGGGCAAAGACTAGCTTCGTTTTATTTGGTGAACAAAATCAATTTCTCTATACGGTAAAGGTGTCCTTCAAGGCCAGAACTGGGGTGAGATGAGTAAGGCATTTGTTTCCATTGCAAAATTTAAAGGGGTGCCAAGAATCTCAGAAATCCAGAATAATATTTTAACATAATGTCTTTAATGATAAAAATGAGTAAAAAAAAATCCAGGACAAACAAAATAACATCTAAACGTGAAATAGGCTCTGACAGGGCCAGGAATCGGGTGAGGTGAGTGAGGCCAGCTCGTGTAAATGCCATCTCCTGTCATGTCTTCATTAAAATGCTAATATTTTGTGTTTTTTTTGTATTTTTAATTTTCATTTTTAATCATATCGCTGTTTTAGTCATCTGTGGCTGCCATAACAAAATACCATAGACTAAGTAGCTATAATTTCTCACAGTTCTGGAGGCTGGGACGTCCAAGATCAAGTTGTCCAACCATTAGGTTTCCAGTGAGTGCTCTCTTCCTGGCTTGCAGATGGCTGCCTTCTTACTGTGTTCTCAAATGGCAGCAAAAGAGAAGAAGTAAACTTGTTGGTATCTCTTCTTCTAAGGGCACTAATCCCATCATGGGGGCTCCCACTCTCTCAACCTCATCTAAACCTAATTACCTCTCAAATGCCCCATCTCCAAATACCATCATATTGGGGGTTAAGTCTCCAACATGAATTTTGGAAGGACACAATTTAGTCCATATCTATTGCACTTTTTGTCTTGATATATGCAGTATTCAGGGTTCTCCAGAGATACAGTGTGTGTGTGTATGTGTGTGTGTGTGTGTGTGTGTAATTTATATTTATTATAAAGTATTGGATTATACAATTATGTGAGAAGTCCCACCATCTTTCATCTGCAAGCTAGAGACCCAGGAAAGCTGGTGGTGTAGTTTGAAGGCCTGAGAGCCAATGGTACAGATTCCAGTCTGGACCTGAAGTCCTGAGAACCATGGGCCCCAAGCGAAAGAGACCAATGACCCAGCTCAAGTGGTCAGGCAGACAGATGGTGAATCCAACCTTCCCCAATCTTTTTGTTCGACCAATCTCTCAACCAATTTGATGATGCCCACACACTCCTTCACTCACATCCAGTCCTGCTTACCAGCTTTGTCAAGTGCCACCTCTTCTTCCAAAGTTGAAACAATTCATGTGATCCATTTCTTCTTGGAGGAGCTTTTTACCCTTCTGAATCAGTATACTTTGTGACTCAGTTTGCCTTGTGACTTCAGCTTTCTGGAGGGCCCAAAAAAGTATTGTTTTGTAGATTATTCAGCTTTTTCTCATTGTTAGGGTGGGAGTGATATGCCTTTGCTGCTTTCTAAATTGTAAGCAGGAACAGAATCCTTTTAACACCATTTTAACATTTTTAATCATACAGTTTAGTGGCAATAATTATATTCCCAGTGTTGTGCAAATCATCACCATTATCCATTTCCAGAATTTGTTTGCCATCCCAAATGGAAACGGTATTTGACAATAATCCCCACTATTCCTTCTACCTGTCCCTGGTAACCTCTATGATACTTTCTGTCTGTATGAGTTTGCCTATTCTGGGTGCCTCATATAAGTAAAATTCTACAATATTTGTCCTTTTTTCTCTGGCTTTCACTTGGCATAATGTCCTCAGGATTCATCATGTTGTAGCATATGGCAGGTATACAATTATCGATTTGAGTCTGTGCTTTCAATTCTTTTGTGTATTTTCTTAAAACAATCATTTTTTAAATTGGAGTTTATTTTTATTTTGAATGTCATGTAAACTTATAAACTAAAAACTTATACTCTAAAATTCAGAAGAGAAAAAAAATTATTCTTATACATTTACTGTATTTCCTTCCTGGATTTTATGCTCATTTATTTTGCATTAACAATAGTGTGTTATGTAAGATTTCTTGGGAAGCAAACTCTGAGTTGGAGATTTGTGTGGCAAAAGGCAATTGAGAGGAATCCCTGGTATCAACACCTATAAGGGAGTGAAGAAAGTAGGGCAGAGAGAAAAGATGAACTGTACAGGAAAGACCTATCTCACAGGGAGCTCTAGAGCTGGGCTGGAACTTCAGAGTTGTACCAGCTTCAGGCAAGGGGCCTGAGCCTTTATGCCTCACTGAAATAGAGCCAGCTTCATTGGCATATTACCTGTGCAATCACACAGGGCCCCTACACTTAGAAGGGCCCCATGCCTAGTTTAATGTTCTGCTGTTACTTTCATGAAGTTCCTAATAATTTTGGAGCAAGAGGACCCACATTTTCATTTTTCATTGGACTTTGCAGTTTATATAGCTGGTCCTACCCTCAACCATCCATTCAATGAGAATTTTTCCCAGGAAGGATCTAGACCTTGATCAACACAACTCCCTCTGGCTGAGAGCCATTCTCAGAAATTGACTCATCTGATAGCTTTCAGCCACCATACTCCAATAGGGCTGGAGTAATGCAAGCCTCAGTCCTGAAAGCGAGATTTGGGCAGTACACAACAGCATCCACTACAAACAGCTTCAGACATGTACCACTTTCACACAGCTGTAATTATGGCGTATATATACACACTTGTCTACTTTGTACCTATCACATCACAGACATTTTCAGTGAAACTGCATTGTCTTCATAGCTATGCCTTTTAACTATGTATAATATTTCAAGTGTAGATGTATTTTACTTCATAATTTCATTTCCCTCATCAGTCATTTACTATATCTATTTTACTATTTCATTGTAATTTTATTACTAGAATCTCAAATTTTCTGTGACAACAGGGATAGAAACTTATCTATTGATTTGTTGTTGGTCAGTTAGGTTTCTAACTTATTCCTGTATAAGATATAATGAACATCTTTCTTCAGGGTTTTCCATGTTTGAGATTATTTCTTGGTGTAGATTATATATAGAATTATTAGATGAGGTAGGTCATTTTTGTGGCTTGGATAGAAATTGCTAAATTGTTCTTCAAAAAAAATCAATTAGATATTTTATTATCAATATCAAATATCAATAGACAAGGAAGTATTTGTTTCATGGCATCATGGCCATTATTGTGGGTTTAAAATTTTTTTCTGCTCATTATATTTTTTTAAATATTATTCTTATTTTAATAGGCAAAATAGCACTTCAGAGATTGTTTGCCAGCAAATTACTAAGAAAAAATTGAAAAATTCAGAAAAGTTGAAGAAATCATACAATGAATACCCATGTAACCAATACCTAGACTTTAAAATTTTGCTATATTAGCTTTAACACATATTTAGATATCTATTCATCCCTCTGTATATGCATTAATGCATATTATTTTTAACTTATCTCAAAGTAAGCTGCATTCAGCAGGACACTTCACCTCTACACACGTTAGTATGCATATCTTAAATAGGGTTCAATATTCACTTGCTGGTCCTTTTTAGGGAAAAAGTTTCAATACAATGAAATGCATAAATTTTGAGCATACGGTTGGATGCGTTTTGAAAACTGCATACACCTACAAAATGTAAACCTAAAAAAAAAATAGGATGTTATCATTATGCCAAAAAGTTGCCTCATGCCCCTTTCCATCAAACCCTGCCCCCAATACCTGCCCCCACCTTCCCAGAGGCAAATACCATTTTCAATTTTTAATAAATCATAGTTTACTAAAGGCAGCTCCAGAACTCCATATAAATGGACTCATACAGTATGTATGCTTTGAGATACACATTTTTTCACTTGGCATGTTTTTGAGAGTCATCCATATTGTTTTGTATACCAGCAGGTTTCCCTCTCCTGTTTTATTGCTGAGTAGTATTCCATTGCATGAATATAAGAGTTATTTATTGATTCTCCTGTTGATATATACCCGAGTTATGTCTGGTTTTTGGCTTTTCTGAATTAAGTTGCTGTGATTTCAGAGATATTTTATTTTGCATTTTTTTTTATTATGAGTGAAGCTGTGCCTTTTCATGTTTGTTTACACATTGTTAATTCCTCTTTAATGAATTATATATCTACTCATGGCCTTTGTTTAATAATTTCTTGGAATTTCAAAGTTGTCTGGTATGTTTTTAAGAACTTTTTAAATAGTAAATGTATGGATGGGCACGGTGGCCATGCCTGCAATCCCAGCACTTTGGGAAGCCAAGGCGGGTGGATCACCTGATGTCAGGAATTCAAGACCAGCCTGGCCAACATGATGAAACCCCATCTCTACTAAAAATACAAAACAAAAATTAGCTGGTTGTGGTGGCAGGCACCTATATAATCCCAGCTACTCAGGAGGCTGAGGCAGGAGAATCACTTGAACCTGGGAGGCAGGGGTTACAATGAGCCAAGATTACACCATTGCACTCCAGGCTGGGCAACAAGAGTGAAACCCCTTCTTTAAATAAATAAATAACTAAAGTAAACGTATTACGCCCATAAGTATCTTACTTGTAGTTTGGTATTTAACTATTTTCATAACTTTTATTTGGGCAGTAATGGCTAATTCTCAATATTTAATTATAAGATAGAGGTTCTATTTTCCAATATATTCTAAAATAATCTGAGAGGATTATTTATATAATATTTTTAACAAATTTTTGTTCTCTTCAGAA